CAGGCATTGGGTCTGCTGTCCTTCCATTAGACCAACAAGGTGAGGGTGATGATTCGTGAGTAGGTGGTCGCGATGGCGATCGTGACACTCCACGAACTTCAGTGTCTGTGCCATTCACCATCTCGATAAATTGCCGCACCTGGAAATATTGATAAAAACATATTATTATCATATCAATATACCTATCAGTAATAATCATAATCCAGGCATCAGGTTTATCTGAGTGTCTCAGTGACATATGGGCCTACCTTACACACACAAAAAAAAAAATTGTTTTCATAGCAGACATAAGCATTACCTCATATCCGATATATTCCATAGATATGTGATAAAATATAACATATAAATATATATACATATATATAAAAATATATTATATAAATAAAAATATATATATATATGAAAATATATATATCTAATATATATATATATAATATATATATATATATCTTATATATATTATCTATTATATATTATATATATATATACATATGATATATATATATATATAAACATATATTATATTATAACATATATATTATCTATAAATATATATATCTAAAAATAGATCTATATATATATTTACTAAAAATATATCATATATATAAATATCTTATATTATATATATATCTAAAAATTATATATACCAATATATATATATATATATAACTATATCTTATCTAGATATAAAACTTATATTATTAAATATTCTTATATATACTCATCTATATATATATATTTATATATCTCGCTCACACTATATCTAATATCACAAAACTATATATATACTATACTACTAAACAAAATATATATCTTAAACATTATATATATCTCTAAAAATCTATATATATTTAACAATTAAATATATCCTACCAAATCCCTCTACATATTGTATTAAATACATTAGTATATCTATCATAAAAATGCATGATATAGCATTATAAACTTACATATATATATCATATAAAATCCATATCTCATATATAAAATACTATATCTATATATATAACAATACTATATATTATACAAATACATATATATACTAAATCCATGCTATTATATAAAAACTCATATATATATATAAAAATACATCTTTATATATAAAACTACCTATATATAATATATAAAAATACATATATATAGTAATATTAAAATACATTATAATATATATAAAAATACATATTATATATATAGTATAAAAATACTATATAATATATATATAACGTACATATATATATATATAGATAAATACATATATCTATATATAACAATACATATATATATATCTATTAAATACATATATATATTATATAGATTATATATATTATATATTCTATCTATATATATAGAAATACATATAATTATAGATCTATTATCTCAAATACATATATATTAATATATGATATATATATATATATAGATTTATAATATATATAATAATAGCATATATATTCTATAAAAATACATATAGATATATAAATACATATATATATATATATAAAAAATACTTATTTATTATATATATATATATATATACATATTATACATATATAAAAATACATATAATATACATAGATCAAAATACATCTATATACATTAATAAAATACATATATATACATATATACAAAATACAAATACTATATATACATGTATATAACATCCGATCTAATAAATACACTAGATATATAATACATATATATATATAATACATCTATCTATATAAATACATCTCTATATAATACATATATATATAATACATATATATATACATACATATACTATATATCTATAGATTATATATCTATATATATATATATATATATATATCATTATTATATATATAATACTAAATATAATAATTAATAAAATAAATACTAAATACTAACTCAATAAATAATAATAAATAAATAAATAATAATAAATAAACATATCATCAATTTTTATAATAAATATAATATATATAAGAATATCTATATTACTAATATATAATAAATATATATATATAGATAACTATTAATAAGCTAACTTAAATATATATATACTCATAAATAAATAATATATATAGAATACTAAATATACTATAATAAATACTATATCAATAATAAATATATCTAACTAAATAACATATCTAAATAAATAATATATCTAAACAAATAAATATATCGAAATAATAATTATCTAATAAATAAATATATCTAATAAAAAATATATCTAAATAATAAATATATCTAATAATAATATATCTAAATAAATAACTTATCTAATAAATAATATATCATAAATAAATAAATAAATCTATATAGATAAATAGTGATATATAGATATATATCATATATTATATATATCATATATATATATATCTCTAAAATAATCTATATATTTATATATATTATATATATATATTATATATATATATAGATATATCTATCAATATCTATATATATATATATATATATATATCAATATATATATTATATATATATCTTATCAATATATTATATATATATATATATATAATCAATATCTATATATATATATATATAATCAAATATATAAAATATTATATATCCAATATAATATATAATATTATATATATCTATATCATATATATATATATATATATATATCAATAATATTATATATATATATATATTATATCATCTATATATTATATTATCTATATCCATATAATATTATATATATGCAATTATATATAATATATCTATAATCTCAAATATATATATATAATATATATCAATATATATATATATTAATCTATCAATATATATTTATTATTTTTTATATCAATATCTCTATAATATATATATCAATATATATATATATAATACTATAGTATATATATAGATATTATAGATCAATATATATATTATATCTCTATATATATTATCACTATATATATTATCTATATCAATCTCATATTATATATATATATATATATCAATTCTCTATATATATATATATTCATAATATAATATTTCAATATATATATATCTATACTATATATCTTCATTATATATATATATCAATATATATTCTATATATATTATTCATATATATCTAATATATATATATATATATGATATATATATATATTATATATATATACATATATACCGATATATTATCAATATATATTTATATATATAGAATATATATATATATATAGATATTATATATATCATATATATATTATCTATATATATATCAATATATAATAGAGAGATATATCTTCTCTATCAATATACATAAATATAGTATATCACTCTATCAATATATATACACTATATCAATATATATATCAATATATCAATATATATAATATCAATATATCAAGCGATATATGCAATATATCCATTATCAATATATATAGCAATATATCAATATATCAATGTATATATATATATATATATATAGTATAATATATAATATATATATATATATCATATATATATAATATATATATTATATATATATTATATATATATATATCAATATATAATATATATATATATATATAGCATATATCAATATATATATATATATATATCTTATAATATTATATTCAATATATATATATATCAATATATATAGATATACGTATATATCTCTATCTATCTTATGATATCTTATATATATATAAATATTCAATATATTATATATATATACATCTCTCTATATTATATATATATATTATCTCTATAATATATAGAATATATATATATATACAATCAATATATATCATCAATATAATATATACATCATATAGATATACATCAATATATATATATATCACTATATTCATATTATATCAATATATTCAATATATATATATATCAATATATATTATATATAATATATATATAATATATAATATATATTATATATATATCTATATCATATATGTATATATATCATATATATATTATATTATATATATATTATCAATATATATATATATAATCGATATAATATATTATATTCATATATATATTATATCAATATATCTATATATATCTATATATTAACATATATATATATATATATATCATATATATATATATATATCATATATTATATATATATTATATCATCTATATATATATATAGTCTGATATCATATTATTTATATAGATATATATATATTATATAACATAATATATATATATATCATATATCATATATATATATATATTATATATATATATATTATATATACAATATATATATATATATATAATTCAAGTTAATTAAATTAAAAATTATATATATATATATATATATCAATATATATATAATATATATATGTAGATATATATCAATTATATATATATATATATATATATATATATATATATATATATATACATATATATCGAATATATATAAATATATATATATATATATATGATATCATAATATAATATATATATATCAATATATATATATATATATTTATATATCAATAATATATTCATATTCAATTATATATATCAATTTCATATATATATCAATATATCAATATATATATATCATATATCCATATATATATATCAATATATCAATATAATATATCATAGATCAATATATATATATCATTCTATCAATATATATTCTATATCAATTATCAATGTATAGATATATATTATATATATATATATATATATAATATCTATATATATATCACTATATATATATATATCAATATATATATAATATATATATATATATATATATATATCATATATATATATAATATATATATATATATATATATCATATATAATCTCCATATATATATATATATATATATATATAATCAATAATATAATTATATATATATATATAGATATATATATATCCATATATATTATATATATTATATATATCAATAGAGTAATATATATATCGCCCATATATAACAAATATTAATACTATAATATCTATACATAATATACGTATATTACATATATATATATATACATTATATAAATATATTACATATATCTCAAATTATATACATATATATTAAATTTATTATAAATATAATCTATATATACATCTATTATACATACATATATATATACCTAATATATATATATATATATAATACATA